CAGGAATTACAGTGATGCTTCGCTCTGAAGTTCTTTATTGCGTCCTCTCCCAAATTGGCTGGACCGAACACCATATCATATGACCTTAGAGATAAAATGCACATAAACATGGGCTGCGTATGTTTTCTGGTGAAAATCTCATAATACTTTTCTTTAAATCCTTCTTGAAACTTACCTTTTTTCTCCAGCTTTTATCACAGAGGGATCTGTCAAACTTTCACCAACACCTTCAGACAGCACATGAAGAAAAAGTTAAATCTGATACATTGCATAAATGCGTTAACACTTAAAAGCCTTTGCATCCTTAGCAATGGCTTCTCAGCTTCCTCAAGAATAAAAAAGAAAAAAAACAACAAAAACCCAACAACCCAAATGGTATGTGATACTCTATCCTTGCAGAAATTCCTCCTAAACAAGCACTTTGTCCTTCTTGGATTTCTTCCGCCTATTTTTACATCTGTCTGCAACTCCTAATTTTAGTTTTCACCCGCAAGAAAGAATTTTTCTGTACAGTTCTCACAGCCAGAGTATCTGGCACACTGTTCCTGAGTACAGCTTACCATAGTGGTACCACACAAATGTGCCAAAAAAATCAGATTGTTTTTATGGCTGCATTTTTTTTAATTCTGCGATTCTATGATTTAAGTAAGACAACCACAGACCCGATTAACTAGATCAAGAAGTACTAAATAATGCTTGTTATTTATTACAGGCGCACGAATTCTTAATAAAATTTTATCACAAGAGAAAAACCCACATATATGCACATTGGCCCCAATTCCAAATTCAAAATAGAACATTACCTTGCAGATCTAGCACCAACAGTTCTCCTCTTGTATACTCGTATGTCCAATGGCTGAAAGCTAGCATAACCTCCTCTAGCATGTTAGTCGGAATTATTTCATCGCCGTTATTGTTGTTATATTTTCTGAACTCTCCCGTCATGCACTCTTCAACTGCAAACCACTGGCCAGCAGAGTGGCAATATAACAGGAAAACTTCCAGGAATCTAGTAAAAAGCATAGTTAATGAATAGATTTCTGAAATAAGTGGTAAATATATCATTACTTCTAGATTTTTATTTGGTCTACCAATAATTTAAATAATCTCAATCTATTATAACAAAGGCATTTATATTATCACTCTAGTCTAGAATCAATGCAAAAATTCTACTCGGCACATTCACAGTAATATTCTGAGACATCCATCCACGTATCAGTACCTTCACATATTTGATCCACCTGTTAACAACCCTGCAGGCATTCTGCTGTGCCAAAAGCATACAGCGTAACGGAAGTTTAAACACGCTCACCTTGGAGAGTACGGAATGGATTTGGGCTTCATTTGATTGAAAGCAAAGGTAAGCTTCTGGGCTGCTCTCTGCTGCTGAATTTCCTACAATTCAAAGCCCGGATTACATTAGCTGTGTTACACAATAGCGAACACAAAGGAACCAAAAAAGCAGCAGGAACAGTGTCTTTTTTCCCCAAGTTAGCATGAAAAATTACTTGTTTTTTAAATCACACTTGAAGTACATTTTAAGAGTTCTGAACTCTTTGATTAAGTACACCACGCTGAAGCAGTTTTTATCCTTTAGCTCATACAGAACCCCAGACTAATCCTTTTTTCCTTTTTTTTTTTTTTTTGAAACAAGTATGTACTAGTTGGGGAGGAGGTATTATTGTTTAACATATAACACCTGCCTATATTTAATAATTGACAAGAATAAAACTTACTCTCAAGCACAAGTGTAGCACAGTGTCCTCCTTATAAATGCTTGACCAAGTATTCACAACTTCAGGAAGAAAAGACTTGATGATGTAAAGGTGTCCTGATTTCAGGATGTCGTATTCTGACCATGTGCATACTACTTTAAGAGCTCGACGTAAACCTCCTCCCATCTCCTCTTTACTTAAAAATTCAATTTTAGCACAGAGTCCTAGCTGCGACCAGGAAGACATGCTGTTGTTCAAGATGCTGGGAGAACTTTCTTCGAGGCGATACACAGTGACTGGTTCACCTACAGTACAATGCAAAAAGCAGTTAGAGCATTTGTTCTTCCAAGTTTAAAACTGAAAGCACAGAAAACCTACAGGTAACTTGCTGCAATATTAAGTTGTTACTAACATCCTGAATTTAAAAAATTTAAACTACCCAGTGGGAAGACACCTCTCCAACTTCTTTGACACAGCAGCAACATAGTACAGCAGTTTTGTCCACCTAATTAGAACTATTAATGACACTGTTCAAACACCATTAAGAACACGGAACAAATGCTTGTTTACACTTTATATAAGTCAAGACAACTTAAAGGAATTCTTCCAGAATAGTTTGTTAAAAAAACTTGTTAGTATAATACTAAGGTCACTGTGTCACCACTTCTGAGGACAACTACAGTTAAATCTAGATTTCATAATCAAGTGAGCTGTCCTAGAAAAGGTGTCATACTCATTTAAACTTTTAAGTGTTGCAAGACAGACATTAGCTTTCCTTCAGCTCACTAAGACTTTAGTTTCATACCTGCTATGAGCAAGTATGAAACTTGTTTGATCTTTCTATATTACAAGGAGTCCGTGCAGGGTTTACTTCTGTTTTCTTCTCCAAAAGAACACAGTGAACCAGCAACAAGAAGTACAATTCTTACCTCTTGGAGGCACAGGAGTGAATGGAATGCTCTGTGATAATCTCATCAAGTTATTTCTTTCAACAGCTAGAGGAAAATTACAGCAGTTGTTAAGAGTTTAGGGATCTAATAAATGTGATTAAAAATGTAAACACCAGTTTATAAGAGGGACTGACCTGAGTAATAGTAATTGATATCCATGATAGGCTTGAAAGGAGAGGCAATGCCTGAAAGAAGTTTAAAAAAAAAAAAAAAAAGAGATGCCACTTATTAACTGCATAGTTTCTCAAAACTATCAAATGTAAAGAACACTTGTCAAGTAACTAGAGTTTGAAAAAGATTTGCTGTGGAGAAAATTAAGTACTATGCTTAGCTGTTCAGTACCTCAGGAAAAAATAAATATAAAAAATTGTAGTGCTAAATGGCACATTACTTATTTGAAAAAATAGTAATAAAATCCCACTCTTACGTGCCCATTAAGTTCCAAATCATCAGGAGCTATTTAGTTCATACAAACCCCAAACAGTTACTTATGTGAAAAGCTCCCAACCTGTTTATAGCAGAAACAGACTCACCATTTAAAGCATCTTCTTCACACGGCCTGTGAAACACCATAAAAACAACAGTCACTGCTTCTTAAAAACTCAATTTGTATTCACTCATTTTGACACTTCATCCCAGGTCACCTTGTTAACCTCACAGTACTGCTTTTATCCTATTTTTCAAGGGCAGTGTGTGTTTCTTAATTACAAAACAGTAATGGAAGGCTCTTAAGTAATCTCGTGTTCCTAGAGCTACACTTTAAATATCACCAAGTCACGCACACTATTATGTAAAGTTTGCATCACAAGAGCTCATTCCCACAGAGGTGTTTTAATTAAAACTTGTTCACAACAGCTTACCCTTCTGTTATCAGATTAATAAGGTAATGGCTTTAACAGTTAACTTGAGGGATAATTGTTAACAAGAGCAGTATCTGCTCAATTTCAGAGAAGGTTTACAGCTTGGAAGATTGGGTAAAGACCTTTACCAGGAAGCTAGCTCCTTAATATGTGTCAGCAGAGTCATTTTCATTTAAGGGAACGTTTTGCCCTCTGACATGTGACCCCATTAATCTAAATGGAACCTGTCAAAGTATTCCAGTGAACCCATTCAGTTATGCGTTAGGAAAAAACCCACCTTAGACCTGTTTTTTCATTAAATGGAACTGAATACCACTATAGCAAAAAGGCAAGAGGCAAAAAGAAAAACAAATCGAAATACAGAGCCATAAAATTGCTCTGTTAGAAGAAAGCTTACTTACATTTGACTGCTATTTGAAGGTCTACCTTGTAACCAATCCTTTAAAATACAAGGAGAATAAAAACAAAGAGGGCTTCAGTTTTGTAAGGAAAACATAGTATATTTAACTGGAGATCTTGCAGTAGAGCCCACCTATTGGAAATGCTTCACCAGGCTGTACCGAACTGCAGGTGAATGGAAAGACTCAAATACAACTCAACAATGGTAGCTATAATTAAAGAATAGATAAGGCTGTATAGTTGCTACTGGTTTACAGATTGTATAAATAATTCTTTTCTTAAACAAAAACTTGTGGTTTTTTCCATAAACAGGAAGCAGCATATGCTTCTGTTGCCTCTCTGAGTAAATGAGTCCACAAAACAGTACTGTTCTTCACACAATCTGTTTCTCTTTTATTCGTTCAGTTTCAGTTCTGCTTAACAACAACAAAAAAAGTGGACACAAACCGTCAGCAGGGCTGCTTTAGAGTCTACTTGCTGAGTGTCTTCACTCGATGCTCTTCTGCTCTTGCTATACACTACAAATGAAAGAGATTCGTAACTACACAAAGAATGGCACGTGTCACTGTGACTTGCCTATTTCCTAATAGAGGGAGCATCTAGACAGCTTAATGTGGCTCATTAAAAAAGCCTGATTCACAGCTATCTGATCTTTACAAATTTTCACCACAGTCCTGACTAGATGGCTTAGCTTTGTATGACTCTAGCTATCTGTGGCAAATACAAAATAACAGAATTAAACTGGCATAACGAGAAGAACCACTATGAGACACAGAGGCAGATTCCAGTAGCACTGATCATGAAACCATTTCAAGATGCTTCAACTTTTCATCTTTCCTTTGCATATTCTTAGAAAAGGCATTATTAATGTAGTTTGGAAATAAATTAGGTCACCTGAAAGGACAACACACTTACACTGTTCTGAATGGACTGCCAGAGGATCAGTAAACCCACCACAAGAACTAGATTGTCGTAGACTGCAGTCAGTTTGAAGACCCTAGTGAAAAAAAAAAAAAGTAAAAAAACCACAAGTGCTTGTATAAGTGTGTGTACATATATACACAGACACACACACACATACCTATATATATATGTATATATGCATATATATATATATATATATATGAGAAATACTATTTCTTTACACCCCTAAACTTAAATACTTCACTGGAATGCAACACAGAGCATGCACCTGCTGAAAGTGTCTTCTGAAGACTCATTTTTAGGTCTATATGCATTTCAGTGTTCCGCATACATCTTCAGCATCTTACGATCAATAACTGTAGTACCTACATGAAAGGTAAGAGTCAAACCAGTCTCACCAAGAAGATGGTGTCTAAGAACAACAGTACTGTCTGGAAATGCTACTCTGGAGCTTGCATCCCAATAGTACCAAACATGGGGACTACTTAGATTTGCAGCTGGATGTCTCCTCGATTTATCTGCACAAAGGTCAACTCTTTTTAAGTCATGACCAGGATTTATTCTACAGATAACAACAGAAGAAAATAGAGTTCCTCGTTTTCACTGTAAGGAACACATGTGGTATCTGGTGAAAATAATGTCTCTAATAAATGGAAACCTTCTTTACTTACTTGAAGCCTGGTTGTCTCTATGCCCTCCAATATAGCTTTCTTGAAGTCTTCCTGTTGCTCCTGTCAAAAAAACCCAAAGCAAATAGTAAACATTATTACCAAAAAACCCCATGTCAAAAATACACACACAAAAAATGCTTTTTGGCCACACATTATACCTATCAGAAGGTCCAGAAGGAGCAACTCAGCAGAACTCCGACATTGCAAATGGTCATAATGCAATTCTCAAGTCAGATTCTCCCCTGAACGAGTGGTAACTTGTATTTACTAACTTAACAGCTACAGGGAGAAAACTGTGGCAGCTGGAGAACAGGTTTCCTATGATCAACCACCTTCCATTTAGTTATTTTTACTATTATTTAAGAAAATGGAAATCATTTAAGTTTATGACAAATGTATTAGAAATTACCGTTCTCAGAAGCATAATGAACAATCTGTGTCGCTTTCTAAAATAGTACACTATCATTGCTCTATAAAATAACACGTAAATCCTGATCTTGAAATGAGTGTCATATGTTTTATTAAACGCTAATTATCAGATGCATAATTTTATCTTAATTCATGGCTGTAGTCAGCTCAGCTTTCATAACCTCAGATCTTTATTAATATTTCATTAGTATCACATTACAAAGCAACAGTACCTGATGTGCAGTTAAGGTTGCATGAGTTCTCACTAGATTATTTCTTTCTTTTTTTTTAAAATCATAAAATGGATACACATTCCTTTCCGGCTGCAGTTCACAAGTTCTTTGATTATATTTGATCTTCAACTTTTAAAAAATATATTGTGAAGTTAAAGTTTAAAAAAACAAAAAAATTTATCCCCATCAACATGTTTGACAGAAAGTCTTCCACGCTTACCTCAATATCAGCACTTCTTTCTTTCATTTTGCTTGCTGCCTCTTTAAACCGCTGTAAATCCATGCTGTCTCTGTGACCTTTGACACAGTGAATTCAAAAAGAGTATTCAAAATCAAAGGCAACCTCCAACGTTCTGATCATGCCAATAGTTTGCATCAGCATAGCAAAGGGTTACAAACCTCTAAGTTCTGCGTGCCTGTTTGCACTAGAGAAGACTTTACAAACACACTAAAGTAAAACTCAGTGTAACAAAATGTTAATATTAAACTGTTGCTTTTCCCGCATTAAAGCGTGGATTGCTACAACTCAAAGCAAAACTAACATTTTAAATTTTACTCAAGCATATGCTCCTCACATGAAAGGAACAGGGTAGTCTGAATTATTGTATTTTTTATGTGCATATGACAAATGAAGGAAAAGCAGACAGTTTTCTTGAGGTAGCCTTTACAACATACCCTTCATCCTCCCAGTTGCAAGAAATACTTTCCAGAATTTAACCAAGCACATGGCTTTACGGTGAATGAAAATCTACTTGGCTTCGTAATGGAGAGCTGCACTGTATCACAGGTTTTATAAAGCACCGTCAGTGAGAACTAAGAGTATGTTCTAAATGCTAGAGATGTCAGAGGACCAAACACTAAAAATTTAGCTCCAGTAAAATAAGTATAGTTAGTATTCCAAGTTATTAGAGGTGAACTACATTTATAGATTAGATAAGAGGCATACAATCACTGTCCATTATTTCTGTTTAGTCTTGCTTTCTGAAATTAAAAAAGAAGTTTCTTTTCTTAAACCATCAGGAAGTTTTAAACAAATAGCTATTGAGTGTACAAACACGTAGATACTCTTCCTACGCACACACAAATCTAAAAATTCTGGTGCATGTACGTAACGTCTTAGAATACCAAGTTTCACAGCAGTAGAATAAACTTACGCCTAAAGACTTAAATTTTTACATCCTCAACATGCTTATGGAAAACACTGAGACATCCCTGAAGTAACTGGGGCAAGGTAACACCTCTGCAGGCAGCCTGACAATTCCAGATTATGATCTTCTGCTAGACACTAAGTGTACTTAAAGCTTTATCTACTTTACAGAGATCAGTTAGTAAACCCACACCTGTGTTTTGCAATGAATCTGCCACTGTTTCACCATTCCAATATGTCGGCAACTCTACCCAAAAACATGCACCTTTTACTGTACAGCAAAACTTGAGGGGAGGCATAAAGCTGTATTTCATCAAAGGACTTTGAAAGGACTTTGGAAACTTCCAAAATGACTGCCAAAAGATACGTGAGCCGAGGCAACAGTGGAAGATCCCAGTCATAACAGTGTTTAGAAACATAGTATAGGAGGATCCCTCAGCTTGACACAGATACCACAAAGATATTTGTCCAGGATTCCATCAGTCTAAGAAGTCTTCTGCAATTACGTCAAGAAATAGACAATATTTTTGGTTTATGCAATTAGAAGGTAAGAGCTTTATAATCGGTCACAAAGTTTGTCTACAATGCCCGTACCAAGTTGTAGAGCCGCTAATTGCACAAAACCGCTACACTCAACAACTGGCTGATGTTTTTCAGAAAAATATTGTCTATGTGACAGAATTATAAAGAAATTTTAAGTTAAAAAAAAAATCAAGCAACATAGGGAAATTAGAGATGTTAAAAACAAAAAAAAGGCAGAGCAAAATGGTAGAATAAAGTCACCTGCAACCGGAATACACCCAAAATACCATACAATTCTTGATAAGTCAAACCTTGTGGCTTAGATTTGGTCCACAGTTTATGAAGTAGTCCCATAAGGATGTTAGAACATAAATCTTGGTTTTGTAGTTCCATTGCATGGACATGTTGACTTTTGGAAAGTTCATCTTTAATATTCAATTTTCCATGTGAGCCGCCACAGTTGACCTTTGATGTCAAGTCTCCAGTTGACAGAGAGAACTTCATTTGGGGGTTGTTCTTCCGTAAGTTGACAGAGGACTGGTGATCACATTTGTCAACTCTGCAGCTGTAGTTATCATTAGTGTCACTCTCATCATGAATAAAACCACAATTAATGTATCCTCCGTTTTCAACACAAGGTTGGGTGAAAGCAAGGCAAGCAGAGCCAGAAGCAAGAGGATAAGAGCAGCTACTAATGACTTCAGGACATTCAGAATCTACTTTGTTATACTTACCCACAAACGCACCAAATTCTACATTATTATCTCCTTCTGTAGCCTTAGAGAAAAGAGTCTCTTCATGCTTTGCTGAGGAATCCAGCTGACTTTTGCAACTGGGCCGAGACGGAGTGCTAACAAAAAATTTAGCTGTTGGGGATGTTACATGTGGCATACTGTTGGATGAACTGCCTAATTTTTTACTTTTACTACTGGATTTTGAGATCTCTGCAGCCTGTATTCGTTGGCGAAGTTCTGGAGGGGAAACAGCACTTGAAAATAAGGCACTGCCTGAGGAACCTGCCTCTGGAAAGTTTATTTCTTCTCTTCGGGGAACTGGAGCTAACTCCTGACCAATTGTCTTATGTTGGACTTCTTTGTCATCACGTATAGAAATGTTACAGAGTAAAGCATTATTACTTTCAAGGCCGCCTTGCGGAAAAGAACCAAAAACATTTCCAATGCTGTGCTTTTTCCACACGGAAGACCTTAGAGAGCCATCCTCAATGAGGTTTTGCGCCAAATGTTTCGAAATGCTCAATTCCCGCGTGATTTCATTATGAACCTTGCTCGCTTCTGAAGCTTTCTGTGCAGTCAGTGTTTTCAGAGTGTCCACAGTTAGAGCAGAGAGGTCCTGCAGGTGCCCAATCTGGGAATCTAAAGACTGTAATGACCGTTTAATGTAGTTGACTCGATCACCAACTTCCTTTATCTGAATGCACATTTGTTCCACCCTAAGAAAAAAATCAAATTATGAAGTGGCTATGAAAGGGATTTTTCTCAATATGCAAAAGAAACATCTTTGCAACCCTCTCTGCCCATTTAATAAGGAAAAAAACCCTCTGAAATTTCAAGATAGTATACATTATCGTATTGGACTGGTTTGTAATACAACATTTGTACATATTTATCACAGAATTAACATACACATCAGTAGAAGGCCTACAGTACTTTCTCAAATTTATCAGTTTATTAAAACATCATGAGAAACTAAATAATATGATTGCCTCAGCTTACTGAGTGCTCCTACAGATGAGGAAGCATCAACCACATTATTATCTTTCTGCATGCCAATGGAAAGACATCATCCAAAGTCCACACAAATACTTGAGCTGCATGTTACCACTTTTAAAGAATATTTGAAAATCGGCCCAAGTTCTAAGTTTCTGTATGCAGAAACTTTATTTGTAAATACTCTACCGTTCAAATGTGACTCGAATCCTCTCCTCACTTCCAGAATGAAATTTATCATCCTTTTCATTGAAATACATCTCAACACACAGCTCTTCAAAATCATGAAGTTTCTTTTGATCTTCCTCTGTCAGGAAGAGCTCTAAAAAGAGATTAAACAGTTACAGTACTTGTGTAGTGAAGCAGTACACTTGATGAAAACTTATAGCCACAAACTTTACAAAGCGTCTTAAAAATGAAATACAAAAGAAAACCAAAATTGATTTTAAAAAACCACGACACCTAAGACTTTTCCTATCTCCTTGTCAGAAAAAAAGCTCAAGATCAAAGATTCCTACTAAGACAAAAATCAAAATGGTAACTCTGAGTGGATCCCGTTCAGTCCCCATGTTGAGAGGCGTCCCTGCCCATGACAGGGGGGTTGGATTAGATGATCTCTAAGGTCCCTTCCAGCCTAGGCCATTCTAGGATTCTATGATATGATATGATCCATGCACAATATTATCACTCCTTACACTCCTACCCCACAATGTCTTTTTCTTCTAGGTAGAAGCTAGATTCCTTATCCAGATTTTATCATCTGTGGAACTTTTATTTTCTCCTGCCTTTTTTAAATTTTCAAATGTTCCAATAAGAACGTAAGTTTTCCAGAAAGAAAAAAAAAAAAATCTTCCTCCACTGCTACTGACAGGAAATCTAACCCTAGTTTTTTTGTTTGTTTTTGTCATAAATTAGTTGGGAGATTTCTATGGGCTGTGCATTATACCCTTCACAAAAGCACTAGGACTTTGGAATGGAATTAGTCTTGATTTTCCATGTTTTAATATTAAGATCTACATCAATTTTCTTGAGAATACACATTATAACCAGTAACGTGGCACTTTTCTGACAGTTTGTTTTAATCATATCCAAAAAGTTATGGCAATTTTTTGGGATAATAACTGTTCATACTTGGCCCATCTGAAGTCTTGTCTGTCTTTCTTCTTTTACATATACAACAGAACAGGGAAGCCATGTGGCTAAGAATAATGAGTGGTGGAGGCAGAACAGGTTTTTCATGGTAGGCCATAATGAAATGATAGCGTTGATACTTCCACACGATGTTTGAAATCGCCTTGACTTGTAAATACACGTTGCTGAAAGGGAAGAGAAAAGTGTTAACACATCAAGGTGGTTTTTGGGGTGGTGGGAGGGTGTGTATGTGTGTGTGTTTTTTGTTGTGTTCTAACACTTTGATAACAATCTTGAATTCTGAAGCTAGTTCAGTAAGAGACAAAAGCACATACATGTTTCTTATTACTGCAAAAACTATTTTAGTGGAAGTTGAAAACACATTGACGAAAAAACACCATGATCCAAAGGCAAGGAAAGGGTTGAAAAATTCTCTCATCTGGTAACATCTCAGTACCTTTCCTCAGAAATAAATAACACTGAGAACAAATTTCAAGTTTGCCAAACAAAACCTCTGATTTTTATATCCGACCACACTAATTCTGCAGTCTCCCACTCCTCAGCATTAGCAAGCTGCTCATTCCCGTAAGTCAAACACTGGCAGAGAACTGTAAAAGACAGTGAGTGTACTCTACTATAATTCATCTAAACCAACTAGAGAATGTTAAATGAATTTAGGAACAACGGTCAATATACAGATGAAGAAACCATTTTGCTTTCTGACAAAGAGAAGTGACAAAATGCTTTCAAATTCTATTAAAATTCCCATTCCCCTGGCCTCATAGATGTGACAGGTACCAGTCACATCACATACTCTCTGCTTAGTCATGGACTTGCAATGAGGAGACAAAGACCAGCCTTAGAGCCAGAAAAATACTTCCAGCATAAGGGATTGCTTTTAAGTGGCATCAGTTCTTCTTTTCTTGTCATCTTATTGCAGTGAAATAGAAATTTACCAAAGGATTAGCAAAAATTAACAATTACTCATATACTTACTTGAAAAATGCAATAAGGAGATTAACCATAATTATGTACTGTACAAAGAGGTAGACAGCTTGAAGAAACGGTGTCAACCATGTTCCTGGGCCACAGAGATGAGCAACTTTTTCATCAGAATTATTTGCACATACTGTATTGGGAAAAGAGACACAGAAGAAATACACACAACTTTTAGAACTCCCAGCAGGTATAGATAGGAGGGAAAAAAATCACAGTTACAACAATCATCTATCATGTACTGATCCTGTAACTCAAAATGTCTCCATGCATTTAGAAATATGGTAGAAAAATACAGGAGACAAAAATTACGGTTAACACTATGTTATAATCATATTATTGGATTTTACAAAAATGCATAGCCAAAATTTTGGCATGACAGCTGTGCAAGAAAATTCCAAAAATGTGCTAGAAAGTCTTCTGAGAAATTATGATTAAGGAGAGTTTTCATTCTAAGCCATTCAAGCTTTATAATGAATAATGAAAAAGTCAAGTCAAAAGCTGCAATCCACAAAGAGAAGATAATCCAATGAATGGAATCAACATCAACAATGGTAGGCATTTAATTTCACAAAATTAGAATTGCATAAGACCTTGAGAAAATCTTATCAAAGTAAGTTTTCTCCTTACTTGCTTCAAAATTGCAGTTTCTTACCATCAATTTCATAGGCATACACTTCACCAAAAATCATCCAGTATGGATGAAACACAATATCTCTAGCAAGAGTCCAAGAAGGTGCCTCATCAGGATACAATATCGCCTTCCTGGGAACACCAAAACTGAGTAATACAAGTGCCATAATCACCACAATGTAAAACATGTTGGCCACCTGTGAACACAAAGAAGTCAGTTAACCCACAAGGTCGTAATCATGATTTCACAACTTTGAATGCTTTTACAGTAACAACATAAGCTTGATGAATTCTATGTATTCCATAAAGAAAAGAGTCTAGAAAACGTGTATTTCGGTCAGAAAAAATTGTTAAATAACAAACCCTACAAAAAACTCTGGATCTTTTTTCCTGCCCTTTCTTACAGTGTATTTAGTATCCTCAGTCGAAGGCAACTGAGAGTATTTCCTTTGTAACTCAAATACCTATTCTGTGGGTGAGCAGCAGCTGATAAAGAGAAATATTTCTTCTCAAAGGCATTCAATAGTTTCACAAAATGCAGAGGTAATTTTCCAAGGACTGAAACACAGAATCTAAGCCTCTTGCAAGAAACCAAAGTGAGAAATGTGCAACTTGATGCCCTCAAGTTCCTTAAAAAAGGAATGTCAGGGTTCAACATTGTAAGAACCATTTCATAGGGAGAGGAAAATCATGTACCCCTTCCACCTTCGTATATATGGTTCTCCAGCCTTAATTCTTTTTCAGCATTTAGAATAGCTCACTGACAGTAAAGCGAAGTTATTTATTTTTAACAATTTGAATGTTTTTTGGTGTCAGAGAAGAACAGAGTGACAATCCACTCCCAGTTTTCCACCGCACAAAATACAAAAGTGCTTTAAGACACCAAACAAGTTGAAGTCTTGCCCTAAAGAGCACAACAGCAAGAAAATCAAGGCTACAAATAAATCTCTGATCCAAAAGGGAAGCAATGCTAGATGAATGAAGAAAAAGGCATCATCGTATTCATTCCACTTTTTTGACATCTAACAACAAAACAGACCAAAGAAGGAAGACTGGCCAGCTTTTTATTGATACATGACAGAGAAAGTTCCATAATAAAGGAAGCCTTCTAATCAGTGCTCGTTTTGAAACACATTAAGTTATACTCCAGCTAGCTAATTCTGCACACTGAGTTGTTGACACACTACACCAGGGTAAGCACCATTTTTCTAAATAAAACATTGAGAAAAGTAAATGTATGCAGTAAGAAAAATTTCAGTTGGGGGAAAAAAATAACAAAAGCAGTACTTACCATTTTCCCAATCATCATAACGTAAGGCCCAGCCTGCTGATTTACAGCGAGAAAATCCAGTAATCGGACATACCAAAAAATTATATTGAGACAGTACGTTATTCTTCCAGCAACAAAGACATAGTTTTCTCTGTAAGTGTTTTCACCGAAATTCCCCTTTGCGCCAAATCTTAATGCAAATCCAATGAAGAAAGTGACAATGGCAACTGTGTCACTGATATTGAAGTAGTCGCTGAACCACACTTTAATCTTCTGATTAATCTTCCCAGCCTCTGACATAAAAATCTGCAATAAAAATAAGTCAGGTGTGCTCACATTTATTGCACATAGACAGACACTGAAATATAGGAATCACTAACATTTTTACACTAAGAAAAATCAAGTATCAAGTATCTATCCTCCACTGAGGAATCAAAACTGTTTCAGCTTCACAAGGACACTGAGAACATGTGTTTCCTTCTGTCTGAGCTACTTAGGAAGGAATTCTGGCTTTAGGGCTTTTTTTTTTGCATGCTGGTTTCCTTCTCAGTCATAGCATTGTGGTAGTTTGAGCAACACGGATAAATAAATACACATTTCACCCCCCAGGCAGTGAGTTACAGATTCAAAATAAATAAATAAAATCCAACTCTTCTAGGGGAATCTTACAACCATACAAAAATCAGACAAGGATGTCACTGCCACTTCCTTGAAACTTAGGAGGAAAAAAAGTAATCTCCTTTTAATAGACCTCTTTCTCCTTGGAAACAGAAGAAAAAGCAAGCCAAGTCCAAGCAGTAGGTCAAGGAACACTGGTATCGAAACTACCAGCCTACACCAAAGTTTAGGATAAAGTTAATACATCACGTACTCTGATGGCTGAAGTTTCTTAGGCTCTCCAGTTATAAACACAGTTTAAAGCATCCTGTTTTAACTGACAAAACTAAAACCCCAGATTGTTATAGGCATACCTCACGAATTTTCTCAATTGCTGATGTGAAAATATAAGCTATAACAATCCACTCTTGAACAGACGGCAATTCTTCCATTTTCACAAGAACCACAAATGTGTAGAGCATGAGGAATCCTAAGTATGCCAACTAAAAAAAGTAATGAAAATTATACACATAATTACCGAAGGGTTCTTCACAGATGTACATGGAATCTTTTGATGTGGTGCACAATAAAAGCTTCAAGTAGGATCACAGTACTGTATTTACCCCTTTAAGCAGACAATTTATTATTTATTAACATTTTCTTAGAAGAGGAAAAATAGCCATATTAAGCTATTTATTGTTAGCAAAGCTTTGTTCTTATTACAGTTATTTTTCCTTCAATATAAATTTTAGAGCTTCTATTACAGTAGTTTAAACAGAGATGTGCATGAACACTTTACCCTAACAAACTATTAGAGAATTCTTGCTAGAAACTTATTAATTACTCAGGCCAGAGAAAAAAGTTCAAGCTAATTACTCTCTTAGCTTAAAAAAAGAATTAATCTCAAACCAAAATAATGAACTTGAAAAAACAAAAACCAAACCAGGGAGCGTCACGTGTGCATGTGCAGTTTTTCAAAATTAAGTCTATTTCCAGCTTAGCAAGGTAAGGGGCTTTTCCTCTGTTTTTAAAAAGTGCATAAATTTTGACTGAGGTCAGAGCTACTACACATGTTGGGGAAAGAATCCAAAAATCTGCATTAGACTTCCAAATAAAATAAATGTTATATAGAAGAAAAAACTCACCGTATTAAACCAAAACTTCACAATTGGTGCATGATAAAATGCATAAAACTTCTGTGTAATTGGAAGCCTTTTAGGTTTTGCTGGTGTCTCCATATCATGCTTTTCCAAAGTACTGTCCAAGATCCTTACTTCTTTAAATACCTCCTAAAATGAAAGGATTGTTAACTTCACATGCAGACATATATGCTTTTGGGCACGTGTTTTAACTCTTTCTTTGATTTAATTATTTATTTTAAGCTAGAAATACTTGTTTTAATATCTGTCCCTGCCCGTATTACCATAGGTATTTCATCTGCTGCATTCTGGAAGTTGTTCTCACTGTCATCCATTGCCATTTGATGTGCGTCTTGAGATTGAGGGATATGTGACATTTCTGCCTTGGTCTTGTATTCCAACAGCAGGATAGCAGGAGGGAGTAAAATACTCAGTATCACCTGGAAAAGATGAAGACTAAGTGCAAATCGCTCACAGCCACAACATTAAAGTGTTAAAATACACCAATACATAATATATCCTCTGAAAATATATTATCCAAATTTCACTTGTTTGTTATTGAGGGGAAAAAAAAAAGAAAATAATTAGCTGTTATTACTTATGCACACACTTAACAGGTTAAGATCACATATATAGAATATTCCTTGACTTATAGATATAGGAAAGGAGAATAATCAAGAAATTCCAAAACTAAAAGCCAGCAAAAATAATGTACTCAAAGAAATCCAGAGATGTTCCGATTATATTCGGTTCTTTAATCCACTCCCAGAAACTCTGGAACTGTGCACTGCCAGGGTGTATTTAAGAGGCATATATGAGTGGAGGTTGTGGTTTTGTTTGGGGGCAGAGGGCTATTTGTTTTAGTGTGGAGTTTTTTTCAACTTATCGTAGAAAAATGAGCTAAGGTATGGATGAAGAAAATAACTGAAAGCTATTTATTGTCATTAGCCTGTTACAAAGCAAGCAAGAAAATAGTTAATCAGTTATCAAAGAGAGGTTTAGTAGGTCATAAGTTAAGCGATGCTTGTAGATATTTTGTAGGAAAGTTTTATTTCATTATATTCCTAGCAATAATTAGATTTTGATTCACCGTCTCTAAGAAATATGCAACTCCCATTTTGGTTCAATTGATCTATAACAAAGCACACTATTGGAAAACCTATTCCCGATTTGCCTACCGTCTTTTCATTCTGTGCCCTGCTTTTGCTCAGTTTCTTCCTCCAAAATAGGATATACACAAAGCTTTTCTACATCAAGTCTTAAGTGCTGCCTGTAAAAAGCCAAAATGCATGAAACTATATTCTCACAGCAGGTTTTTTGTCCGTTAAGGCTTTTTCACCACTATGTTTTTAGTAGCAGATTAGTATTCACGTGAGCTCTTTAAGCCTCTGATTAAAGGCTACTTGCCTGGTTTTTGCCTTCTATATTTCTGTACCTTATTTGAAAAGATAATAGAGTGTCAAAAGCAGAGTTTGCAGTAAATATTTCCAGTTTTGATTATGTTACAGGAGACTGTTTTACAGGATTTATTAACATAAGCTACAGCTGTGAAAGCTTTATGCTAATAGCAATTAAACACACGCTTTCCTTCCATTTAAATGTAAATTCCGCTGATCCTTTTTACACCAATAAACTGCAACAATGCTTACTTTGTACCACGAGTTCTTCCTCATGTTCAGCCTTCCCATCCACATGTCTGACAGCAACATCTGTGTACAAGTATGCGCTACAAATGGACGAAGCCTTGACGACACTGCAAGCTTCAGACAAGTTGAATTGCTCCAATTTTTAAGCTCATAGGTTAGTAACTTCATTGCCATAGTTTCATCTTGTCGGAAGGACTGTTCTAACAGTTCAACTGCCAGTTGACCAAACTCGCTAGAAGGAAGAAAAATCAGCAAAGTAAAATTTGTTGTCTATAGAAATTACCTTGATTTTAGGTCAAGTTTTCTTGTACAATCAAATTCCCAGCAGCACAACTTAATGGGACTATTACCTGTCCCTTCTGTACTGACATATTGTACAATAATTTTTAACTACAACGTGTGAATCTGTGACTTATTTAAAACATACGCAGGCTATAAACAGCTGTTTAAACAAGCAGGGAAATTACATGGAAACAAGTACACGGCATATGCGGTATCTTTTTAATTTAACTATAAATCATGATTGTAACAGTTCTCAAGAGACTGATATTTAATGTAAAACTTCTACTAGAGTGCCACTTAATCATTTTTGCAAACAGGAATTGTCTTCACGCATGCTAACAGACTAGTTTGGGTGTTGTTCATGTACAGCCCACTGCTTCTATTTTAAACCTCAAGAAAATATTTTTAACAATACAAATGCAACTTACTTGGAATACTGTTTCAGTTCTTCTGAAGTATCATCAACAAGGTCACTTTGTTTTGCTTCATATGCCATGGAACGATACACTTTGCAAGCCACTAAGGCTTTCGCCATGGACTCCTCCCCATGCTGCCAGAAGAAGAGGGCCATCTTCTGCCTCTTCATTAACACCGCCCAGAGTAACAGCTCGTTGAGAGGGTAAGCAAAACGTCTCGTTTCAGGATCATCTATGTCTACTATTTCATCTTTGGTTCTTTTCTTTTTTCCTTCTTCTGCACCAGTGTCAATCTTTAAAATAAAACCAAAGTTACATTTTAAATCTCTAAACTTGGTAATTACGGAACTTGAAATAAAATCCTGAGTGATCCAATATCAAATTATATATAATCATAAAAAGAAAAAAATTCTGAAGACTGGAAAAGCAACCTGAACTTTTGTTCAAAATCTTCAGTTGAGTCCAATCCATTTTAATAACTAGGAGACTGAATTACTTTGATTTATACATCAAAAGAAAAGCAGTAACTACCTACATACAAATGAAGAAACTCACGGAGACTGCTTATGGTCACATCTTGCTCCATCTATGAAGTCATGAAAGTGCCCTCACACTGCTAGAGCTGTGCCAAAGAAAAGCTTACTGCTCCCAGCTGATCAAAGGCTAGCCAGAACACTACTGTATAGAAAGATCAACACTCTTTACAGAATCCCATAAGCATGCCAGACAGTTTATAAACAAGTACAAAAGCAAGGCTGCAATTCCAGCTTTACCAATGTCAGTAAAACTGTTGCTACTCACACTTCAGGGGCACTTAGACTTCAACCAGGTTCTCAACTACTTAAAATAAATCCCATCATGGTCAGTCACATCTGTACCTTTGGTTTGTACGGCTGCGCTGTTTTGATGAAGTGATTATGGCGCATCTTTTCCTTCTTGTCTGCCCTGTTACCAAAGGGCTCGTGGCTTTTACACATCTGAGGAGTTGTATTTGAAGGATTTCGCCCAGATCGCTGTAACAAGAATAAGGAGAAGGGTTTGGGTTTCCTTACTCTTACTTACTAGCCATTACAAAATCACTTTTTTTATAGCTAGATATCAGTTGAGCTACTGAAACCGTGATGAACTTACATAACAGCAACAACTGGAATTTTTCCTGGATATCTAACAACTTTATTTTGTTTTTTTAAGAAGTCACAAAGTAGGCAGTTACACTTGTTGTTTTACAAGAAGCTAAGATATCTGTATCCCAAGCCCTAGAGAAACTTCATGTTAGGTGCTCATTCTTCCCCTATGAGTGGGAAGAAGAAATAACAGAGAGGGAATTTAGATTTGCTAGATTAAGGAGCAGGAGAACAAAAACTTTTATTTTTCATCAACCCCAATACAGCTACCAGACGCCCTCATAAGCCTTTAAAAGAACCAGTCTGTTGACAAGAACAACAAAACAATAGTGATCAAATTTTTCTCCATAACACGTAGGGGTTTTTTAACTGAGAACATATGAATCTGCATGTCCTGTTATTTAACTGCCACATACCCGATTGTTCCCACTGAGACTATTGTATATAGCTCTAAAGCGTTTTCTTGTATAGGTGCATCTGTAGGTTCCTCCCATCAGGTATTCAATAACCAGCCCCACATCAATCAGGTTGATTTTATATCCTGGAGGAAGATTTCCCTAGGAATACAAAAAGTATTTTTAGTTTTTCAAATTCTAATCTTAAACTTGCTAAGAGTGCTTCTATGCATTACATGACAGTTCTAAAAAAAAATATTTAAAAATAAAAAAAAATTAAAGCCCACCACAACTAGATGACTTGATATTTAATAGTTTCCAAACATACAATACTTTCCAAACAAACATACAACTTCTTTCCTGTATGACCTCCCCTAGTAGGGTAGAAGTTCATTCTGGAGTGGGTGAGAAAGCACTGGCTTTTTCATCTGGGAGGATCAGCTTTCAATCCCCCTCCAACGGGGAAAACAATCGCAAGTCAGATGAAAAAGACAACAGTCACTGGGTTTAAAAAAATCTTTCTTGGAGCAGGGCACTAAGCAAACAGCAGCAATTATTGGAAAAACACAGAAAGACTGCAGAGGTAGTGCATTATTTATAAGAAAATCTAATTAATAAATCTAAGATTAAATTGACACTCAAACATAAGAAATCATTTTAAAAATTAACATTGCTAAATCTGACAGATTTTTACATTTACAGCATACCTGTTTGACATCTCGAACAAGATGAAAGAGCGTTGGGTTAGTTGGGCCTTGTTTCTTTATAGAAAGAGAGGTGGAGGGAAATTGCAATGAGAAATTACAGTGCAGTGACAACATAAGAAGATTAAAGTAGAAGCCAAATATTTTTACATATTGGCTCAAAAAACCCCTAAAACCAAAAAACAAGCCCTAGCTTTTAAACAAACAGTAGCCATCAAATAAATGCAAATATTTCAAACTACCATACTAGCTATGGACTATTTCCTTTTTTGTTGCATTTCACTTCTGTTTTAATTTAGGATGTAATTAACACACCCATAGATTGTGCAAGAAGAAAGAAAAACAACCAGAAAACCCAACACCACAAAAACTAACGACCTCCAGAATGTAAACAGCAACAGTTTTTTTCTATTATTAAAATGTACTATTACAGAGACAAGTTTTAACAAATGCTTTCATTTACAGGAACACTCACAGACTGATACTGAAGTTTACAGTATTGCAGGATCCACATTAAAAGCTCCCTTACTTTTTGAATTTTTAGTCTGAAAAGTCCCTCTCTTTTTACCAAAGCGGATTTTTCTTCTGATTTCCCACAAGTTCACAGACTGTTACACTTTTAGACACAAGGTAACTTTAGCTCCCATACAGAATTCAATCAAAAGCACACCAAGAGTATAAAAGCAACACCATAAAAGATTAAAAAACAAACAAACAAAAACACAACAACAAAAAAAAAAACAAAGAAAAAACCCCTAAAAACAAATGACAAATAAAACCTGGTCACACAGGTTCCTTTACAGAGCTTTATTAGCTAAAGAATTTCTACTTTTTTTTTTTTGGTCAATATTTAAAACTACCTTAAAATTCTTAAATCAACCCCTATGCCAACAAAATTTTTCTAAGTAATATTTATAACTATGTAGGTTCACAAAATAAACTATTTTTACATCTACTGTGATAATATTAGCTGCTATAGACAGAATTAATCTTGTGAACCCCTAAACAATACTGTCTATAGACGTTGTGCACAAGACTCACCCACCTGACTTTCTCTTGTTCTCTACCCCACTGCGGTTTACGTATTTCAGATGCTCCACAACAAGGCTGCAATTTTCCCTTTCGTATCTACCCCCGACATCAGACACCGATGAATATCCTGCTGACAACTAATTCTGGTATCGTTTCGGGAGAGCCAGAAAGCAGCTGTGGCACCACAAAGCAGCCGGAGAGCACGTGTTTCTCCACTCTAACCACAGTCAAGGGAGCCTTCCCTGTCAACACCCCGTGGCCTTCAGACTGGTGCACATGACTCGGTATACAACATGCCGAGCAACAAAAAAGCTGTTCTAAAAGTAGCTTAAAAAGGAATCACTCACTTACTGTGTTATAAAGTTCTTCCAGCCTGGGAATTGTAAGAAATTTGTGCATGCTTACTCCATTCTCAATCAGAAGTTTCACAAATGCAACTCTATCCATCACAAGGGCATCTAACATGGCCTGTTCCAGAGAGCCAACCTACAGGAAACAAGTTACAAGGTGGAGCCTGGAGAGAATCGGTAAAACGGGGCATCACAAAATAAGCGTCCTTAGACTAGGTATCCACCTCACTCCTTTACACGGCTCGAGAAACCTTGCATATCTACAAAGACGTCACCCTTGGTTCAGAAAATCCCCCGAAGTTCACACAATTACAGAATGAGAGAATATTCTAAAGCAAGTCTTTAACTCTTCCATAACTGTCTCCTACTGACAGAGAACATACAACTAAGTAGACATGTGGTTTAGCATTGTTAAGTTGTTCTCCTAGACTGATACTGGATAAAACAGAAAGACATAAAACATTTAAAGCATAATTTGCTTCAAAGACAAATGCTCAGAACCATCATTGCTATCAACGAGCCCTACAGGATGTACTTTGGACTGCACACTCTTGTAAAATCGTGATTTGTTTCTACAGAAAAATGGGGAAAAGGCAAGAATGTAGTCTTCAAACTAATTTGCAGATTGCAAGAAACAGGCTTTTTGTCCTCCTCCTCAAAAGGCACTGCAGTGCTACCAACAGTGCATTTTACCAGACATTTAAGAACCTCCTGTGATCATGTAACTACAAGGGAAGAAAGAGTTTTTCAGAACACTTAGCACATTTCTAAACTTTTTGGACCATTTTCAACTACATGGTAAACAAAATAGCTGCAAGATTATGCAGCATGCAGGAAGTACTGTCCTCAAAATAAATGTATTAGTATTGTACAGTTCTCTCTACAAAAGTCAAAAGATTCATTCTTTACAGTAAGTTGAGTTTCATTCTTCTAGAAAATATCATTCTTCTTAATCCAGACCATTACATACCAGCCATTGTTGCCCATAAACAAAAACATGATTTTTGGCTATGTCAACTCTATCCCATGCAAGTGTAAGAACAAGCTGGTCAAATGCAGATGCATTCGTGCCTTAAGAAGCAAAAACAATGAAAAAAATAAAATTAGTTAAAATACAAGTTAATAAACATTCTTGCTTAAAAAGGCCAAATCCAAGAAAACTCCATACAAGTTATACGCTGTATTTCATAATTTAGAACATGTTATGATAATTATTAGCTTAAAAACTAATGATTCCTACAGACTATAGTATTTTATAAATAACCCATCATAAGCATTATACAACAATAGCTGGGGATTCCAAATGCTCTTAAAACTAGAAAACTCACCTTTTAACAGTGCTGTAAGTATTGCAACATCAATATCCTGATGTTCGTCTGACCCAATATGGAAAACTGTAATCTGTTTGAAAGGGGAAAATGGGGAAAATGTTTTTTCATGTTATTTTCAGGCAAAGGTGATTAGCTCCAGTCTTTTATGTCAGGGATTGACATACATTTAAAAAAAGTCCTTATCTTCAATACAGTTTAAGCCTATGCTTGATTTAAATTTACTTTTACTGTCCACTTGTTCTGTCCTCCTAACCGCGTGTCCCACAAGGCAAACCTTTATGCGAAAAAGCATAGCAGAAACCCTTCACACTCTCCCATCAGTTTGAACTTCTCCTCCCACTATGATTACAATTCCCTATTACTTATAAGCATCACACAGTATTGTTTAACCTGCCAGCAAACATGTGTAGCCCAATATGGTGATTTTAAACCTCAGAAGAGCACAGTATGATGCCAGAATGACACACCAGGACCTGAACTCAGGGTATATACAAAGCTCAAAAGTGCTTACCTTTTTAGTACAGTCATAATTAAAATACATTTAAAAAAAAAAAAAAAAGAAGTCCCAAGTTCAAAAACCAAAAATACAGAGTAAAAAAAGGGTAGCACTCCAAATACAAAATATACACACATTATAAACAAACCAGAATCCTGTAATCCAAAACCAAACAGGCTTGGAAACAACAACAAACTCAAAATGACCAGAAATAATTGCAAGAATTAAGTCTCTCTTGGCCATGAGATAAGGCATACCTACCTTCTATAACTGGAAGATCTGCTGTGTCCAAAAAAGATTTCTGAATGACTCTTGATAAAGACTGAGATACAATTTATTATTATATCCACAAACACTATAAAAAAAAATTATGACAGGGCATGCAAGATCTACTTACAAGTTCTTTTCTTTTCATGCATTCCAGCAGTGTCTGAAACAAATGAACCGCTTCACTTTGACCAAAGTTAAATGTCTTTTTGATGGTTGAAATTATTTCAGGCTCAGCACCCTCAGGAACATTCCTGAGATTGAAACAAACAAACAGGGAAGCACAGTTATACGTGAACGCTAGGTAAGAACACCACCACATTTAATTAGTTTCAACATGCCCATTCAAAGTCCTGCTATCTACACGCTTATTACTGTTTCAGTGTCAAAAATCTCGGGTAGCTTTTAGAAAGAAATGTAGGTTGCTTAATCTACAACTTTCTGCTACTGCCTCATAAAAGTAAATCAGCTTCTCTCCCTTTCCTTTGCATATCCAGTTCTGAGACACTCTCAACTAAAAGACCCTGACACAAAACACTAAATACTCATGCCTCTGAGTAAGACCTGCTTCTGATCTTGCTATGGACAAAGCTGCTTAGTTTACTGCTACCTTAGATCCCTGCCTCCTGGTTCTGAGGCAGTCCCTGAAACAAGAACCCAAGGTTTCAGGACATATGCAAGTCTGGCAACTAAATAGCAACCATTAAGTATTGTGGAGCCCAAGCACATCCCTCTGATTATTTCAAACTACACTTAAAACAGACGAGTGTTTTCTATGCTAAACAGAAGTGTGTAAAAAGTTCAGTTTTAAGACAACTCAGAAGAAACGATACAGAAACTATTTCTGATCCTGTGCTGGTTTTAGCTGGGACAGAGTTAATTTTCTTCATAGTAGCTAGTATGGGGTGTATGCTTTGGATTTGCACAGAAAACAAGTGTTGATAATACAGGGATGCTTTAGTTACTGCCCAGCGGTGCTTACCAGAGCCACGCTTACTTGCCAGCTGAGGTTAACCCTTTTTCGAAAAAGTTACTTCTGTTGCAATAGCTAACAGCATGAGAATATTTCCATTTAATGTAGTCAAGTAAAATTTTCAAGTAGTTTGGTAACTGCTTGTATTGGGTTGGCTCAGCC